ATTGTGGAGAATTGGTATCATTTTTTTCTTAAATGTTTGGTAGGATCCACCAGTTAGGCCATTTGAGCCCAGCGGTCTCTGTTTTAAAATGTTATTAATTATGGGTTCAATGTCTTTAATAAGTATGGGCTACTCAGGTTATCTATTTTTTGTTGTTTACGTTTTGGGAGTTTATGATTTTCAAGAATTTGGTTCATTTAGTCTAAAATATCAAATTTGTTGGGGCGCCTGGGTGGCTCAGTCGGTTGGGCGTCCGACTTCTGCTCAGGTCGTGATCTCGCGGTCCGTGGGTTCGAGCCCCACGTAGGGCTCTGTGCTGACAGCTCGGAGCCTGGAGCCTGTTTCGGATTCTGTGTCTCCCTCTCTCTCTGACCTTCCCCCATTCATGCTCTGTCTCTCTCTGTCTCAAAAATGAATAAATGTTTAAAAAAAAATTTAAAAAAATATCAAATTTGTTGGCATACAGTTATTCATAGTACTCTTTTATTATTCTTTAATCCATGAGATCAGTATTAATGACCTCTGTCTCATTTCAGAAACTGGTCATTCGTGTCTTGCCTTAATTCACCATTGGACTGGCTAGAGGTTTATTCATTTAATTGACCTTTTCCAAAACTAACTCTTGGGGTTTTTTGGTGTCTTCATGGTTTTCCTGTTTTCAATTGCATATGAATTTCTACCCTTTTTTTTTTTTTTTAATAATTTCTTTTCTGATTCCTTTGGTCTCTTTTCTCTAGTTTCCTAAAGTGCAAGCTTAGCTTTCTTCTTTTGTAACATGCTCACGTAGTGCTATATATTGCCCTCTTGCGAACCGCTTTCCCTGCATCCCACAAATTTTAATGCTATCTTTTCCTTCTCATTAAATTCAAAATATTTTAAAATTTTCTCCTGCCCCTTCTTCTTCTCCTGCACCTTCTTCTTCTTCGACTTTGGCTTACTTGGAAGTGTGCCGTTGAATTTCCAAACGTTTGAAGGGTTATCCAGCTATCTTTCTGTTACTGATTTTTTTTTTCCTTTAGTTTAATTCTACTGTGGCCTGAAAGCAGACTGTGTATGTATTCTGCTCCTTTCATTTTGCCCTTGGGTGTGGCGTGGCCCAGAACGTGGTCTATCTTGGTGAATATTCCGTGGCGGCATGAAAACCTGTTCGTGTGGAGCGAAGGCGTGGGGGAGGGGAGGGCGTGCTGTGATCTGTGATTAAGCATCAGCTTCCGTCGGCCTGTGTCTCAGGGCTGTGACCTTCACAAGTGTCTCTCTACAGTTCAGCTTTCCCGACTCCCTTCACTGACTGAAGTGTTCTCCATTTCCTTCCTTGAAGCCCTGATCCCAGTTGACTGTCTTCCCCACCCTTTATTCGGGGCGAAAAGTCTTCAGGAGGCTGGAAGGGGATAGATATCCTTCCCCAGTTGGAATGCAGCTTTGGAAAAACAGTTTCCTCTGGAGACTAATATGTGGATTTGGCTTTCGGATGCGCCTCTCGTAGGAATAGTGTAAGAAGAACCGGAAGGGCTTGTGCCTTAAGTCTCCAGCAGTTGTTGACGTGAAAGCTGTTTGTTTGTGGAGCACATCAACAGACTCTTACACAAAAGGATTGTCAATCCCCTTAAAATGCCGTGGATGAGGTGATTGTAGGAGGCTGGAGGCTTGGATTCAACAGATGAGAGAGGAGGCCAGAAACCAACTATGTGGACTGGCCCTTGAGCTTGCCAGGGTTGAACATGATTAAAATGGTGGAGGGGCGCCTGGGGGGGCTCAGTCGGTTAAGCATCTGACTTCAGCTCAGGTCATGATCTCGAAGTTGGTGAGTTCGAGCCCCGCGTCGGGCTCTGTGCTGACAGCTCGGAGCCTGGAGCCTGTTTCAGATTCTGTGTCTCCCTCTCTCTCTGCCTCTCCCCAACTTGCACTCCTTCTGTCTGTCTGTCTCTCCCCCCCCAAAAAAAATAAATAAATAAATAAACACTTAAAAAAATTATAAAAGTAGAAAGTCCAAGACTGTTTTGCTAACTTCTAGGCTAAAGGGAACCAAACTCTGTCCATCTTTCTGTTTGACATTCTAAGCCAGAGGCTGACATTCTCAAGTTTACCTCGGGGTCCGATGTGGCTGTTGGAGCTCTAGCCATCTCACTGCGTTCCAAGCAGAGAGGAAGAGAGGAAGTACAAAAAGGCTTTAAACATATGTGCCCATTTTTAGTGTATTTTCATATTTTCCCAAAATAAATCACTGGCTAGAAATTAAAATCAAGGAAGGCTAGATTCTTTGGAATCTTTTAGCTGAGTATACCATTGCCCCAAACAAATGCAGGGCCCTGAGACCGTGGGAAAAGTGTAGAAAGACACTGGCTGGGCAGCTAGTTGTGTCTGTACAGGGGCCTTCCCAGCACCCATCAAATCAACCAGGAGCAAAGCTGGCCTTGCCTCTAGGTGTCCTGTCCAGCCTAAAATCATGTGGTTTTGGGGGTGACTTAGGGAAGCCCTGCTTGTCTTTGTGACCAATTGTGGGCGGGGTGGGGGTGGAGTGTGTATATCCTTTATTCTGTCCTTGTAAAATTACTAACTTTGGAACTGGCTAGTCTGACCTGCGTCCTGGAAAGCTGAGATTTCCCGTGCCTTTCCGTTACCCCCAGGCTGCCCCCTCCTGGGGCGGGACCAGTCCTTTGGAGATTCATTCCTATGGATGAAGCAGGATGCGTTTTGAGCCTGGAAAACTGCCAGAGTGCAAAGCCTCCCGAGCAGAAGTCAGGTCAACAAACCAGGCAAATAAGGCTGTGTTGAAGGGGCACTTTTTCCTATGAAAGGTAAAATACTGTGTAAGGCAGAGTGTGCTGGGGCATGATGGTAATGAAGTTCTCAGAGCAGGGGAACCGGAGACGGGCAGGTCTGAATTGCAAAAAGCCATGTGTCAAACCGTGATTAAAATTAGTGGCTGCCATTTGTAGACAGAGAGACCGATACCAATGCTGTAAGACTTGCCTTCCAGGAGAGAAACAAAGGTTCGGGCAGGGCAGTAAATGGCCCCCAGAGGAAGGTGCTGAGCTGTAAGTGTGTGCGTGTGCTGTTTTCCCATAGAGAAAACCCCCGGAACTTTTTGGAAATTTTTTGCCCCAGAAATTACTGGAAATTAGGTCAGTCTGGGAACCCCTGAAGAACGGTCGGGATGCACAAATCATTAGAGCTGAGGGCATCGTTTGTTTGTAATAGTTAACGTTTCCATTCACTTTCTTCTTCTTCTTATTTGTTTAACGTTTATTCATTTTTGAGAGACAGAGAGAGACACAGCATGAGTGAGGGAGGGGCAGAGAGAGAGGGAGACACAGAATCCGAAGGAGGCTCCAGGCTCTAACCGACTAAGCCACCCAGGCGCCCCTCCATTCACTTTCATTTGAAACAGAAATCCATATATCTCTACTAGAGTAAGCAAGCACTTTTTAAACAATATGGTGACAACATTCTTTTCTGGAAAAAAAAATTATTGCGTGAAGGTTTTTTGTTCTTTATGCAATAATAATAGTAATAATAATAATAATAATAATAATTAGGTATTAGGGAGTATGTTAGCACGTTCTTGGAGCTCGAGAGGGAGGCAACAAATCATACCTTTTAGTAACACACCCCAGAGGTCTTCAGGTATTACACATCACATTTTTTAGGGTTTTTTTTTTTTTTTTTTTTTTTTAGTTTATTTATTTGAGAGGGACAGTGACAGTGAAAATGAGGGTTGGACAGAGAGGGAGACAGAGAGAGACAGACAGAACCAAGCAGGCTCCGCAATGCCAGTGCAAAGCCCAATGCGGGGCTGAAACTCACGAAACCCTGAGATCACGACCTGAGTCGAAACCAAGAGTCAGACGCTCAACTGACTGAGCCACCAGGCTCCCCTTTTTAGATTGGTTTTAAGTTAAAAACTCTACTTTTTATTTTAAAAGGCAAAGTGCTTAATCTCTGTGTCCAGAAGTCAAAGGTCATCCATCTGTCTTTATTTTTTTTAATTTTTTTTTTAACGTTTATTTATTTTTGAGACAGAGAGAGACAGAGCATGAACAGGGGAGGAGCAGAGAGAGAGGGAGACACAGAATCCGAAACAGGCTCCAGGCTCCGAGCTGTCAGCACAGAGCCCGACGCGGGGCTCGAACTCACGGACCGTGAGATCGTGACCTGAGCCGAAGTCGGACGCTCAACCGACCGAGCCACCCAGGCGCCCCATCCATCTGTCTTTAGAGAAGCAGTAACAATAGCAACTCCTCTTTATTCTTCAGGGTGAATATTCACAGGGCTTGAACGTGGTGACGCTGCTTCTCAACGCTTTCCCCTTGGGGCTGTCTGGACACGGTGACCTTGGGAGGAAGGCCTGAGCTCTCCGTGGTCCCATTCCTTGCCCCCCTCCACTCCTCTGGCGGCTGAGCGAGGCCACCGCGTGCTGGCGTGCCCCGGGAACGCGGTGTCCCCGTGTCAGACACACATCGCGCAGGAGCCCCGTGGGGGCGACCCCGGGGACAACAATCAGGCGGGAGGCTCGACGCCCACCCGAGTTTCCGCACGGGCCCAGTGGGTAGAGTTGGTTTGATTTTCACTCCCTGCGGTGCCAACAGGAGGGAGATGGCCGCTGGGAGCACTCATTCACGGGGTCACCGAGGGCTGAGGCGTCTACACTCTGAAAGTAACACTGAGAGGTAGCAGGGAAAACCTCCTAGGCCGCCGCTCTTGGACAAAGCCACCGTTTCTGGGATCTAAGTCGTTCGTCTGTTCCAAGGCGGGGCAGCGCCCCCTCTGCTCGGCTCTTTGGGTTTGGGGGGCCTCCACCCACTGGCTTTTGGGCTTGAGTCTCTGTCTCTCTGTCTCTCTGTCTCTCTTGCCTTACCTTCTAGCTCAATTCCATTCGGCCCAAAGTATTTCATAAAGCCCCTGATGAATAATTCACGGGAATGCACTACTAACGGTGTATACATTTTAAAGGAGGAGCCTCCTGGAGCGAGTTCGGCTTTAATAATGTAACAATGTAATGATTCGATGTTGCCAGAAAAGCAGAATTTAATCACACATCTCTCCTCTCCCTCCTGACCCACCTGTCACAGACGGTTGGCTAATAAATGGGAAGGAGGATTTACTTGTGGAGAATTCTATCAGGAAAGAATCATCATTTGCTCTGTGTCCGCCTCCTCCTTCCTCGGGAGGCTCGATGCCAAAACTTCCTCCCCAATCAGGATGTTATTGATCATCCACGGCACAGCTTTTGTGTGGGAAGCAGGCCAGCAACGTGGCCTTTCAGCATGTTGGTGGCCCGGGCACCCCCACTGTCTCACTTCAGTCCCGCCGTGCCTGATGAATGTCACCTGGTGGCTGACTAAATTAAATTAAAAGCAAAACAAAACAACCATCACCACTACGCAGTGACAGAAAAGAAAAAAAAAAAAAAAAAAAAGACACACAAAAAACCCAAACCGACAGCCCAAGCATATCACACCTAATATTTCAAACTTCATAAAGCTTTCCAGGAGACTAACATGCCATTTTTCATAGGAGACAGAGAGAGGACAGTCTCACTCCTGTCCCCTCTCCTCACCTGCCTGCGAAACAAAACAAGCAAGAACACAACCTAAGAGAAATACGCAAACTGTTGTTATAGGATGTAAATGGCTACTTTCAAATTGCTGCTACTCACCTGACAGCATAGAGCAGGGATCGCCCTCTTCTTGCCGGTAAAACACGGGTCTGTGGACCACAGCCTTACGCGCCTACAAAGAGCCAACTGAGAAAGCCTTCAATAGCTACCATGTAAAGCGTTTGGCCCTAAGGGAAAGATAAAGCACAGTGCGTGGATAGAGAGGGTTACAGGACGGGTGGGAATAGGGTGTGGCTGATGCGGGAAAGAACATTCTGGGCACAGATGGCAGCCAGGCCGGGATTGCAAGCTGGGAGTCCGGAGGGTGCTGTGGACAGCAGAGGAGGTGAGTGGAGTTATCAGGAGGGAGGGCAGCAGGAGGAGAGGTCCCCAAGATTCAGGCCTCCCCGCCCCCGGGACAGGGCTTTGGAGCCCTTTTTAAGGACTTTGTCTTTACCCTGACTGAGATAGAAACCAATGTAGGAGGCTGGTCAGAGGAGAGACATTTTCTTAAATTTAAAGGCTCCTGATTTTGTGGCGCATCGACTCTAGGAAGGTAGGTCTAAGGCACAGACCCCAACAATTCCTAAAAGGCCATTGCAATAATCCAGGCAAGAGGTGCTGGTGCCTCGGACCAGACTAGTTGGGACGTGGGAGCGTTGATCGGGGGGGGGCTGGGAATGAGAAGGGGTCAGTTCAGGATATATCTGGGACGTGATGTGGACAGGATTGGGTAACAGGTTGCACACAAGGTCTGAGAAAATTAAGAATGTAAAGAATGACTCCACGGGGTTGAGGTCTGGGCTACCTCAGGGCGTCACAGTCGAGGGCAGGTCCCGAAGCCAGTATTGTGGAAGCTGGAACGGGACCAAGGCAGCAGCAGCATGGCCTGAGGGGCGTGACAGGCCGCCGCTTAATGTTAACGTCGTATTCCATCTCCAACGAACTGATGGCTGTTCGTTTCTTTCTCCCACCAAGGCTCCTGGGCCTTCTGTGATTGGCTTTCAGTCCCTGACCTTCTGGGGTTAGGTGTGCAGCCCGCAGAGGGTGGAAACCCCGCCCCCCCAGAAATCCCTGGAGCCACAGGCCCCCAGCACCTGACGAACTGCCCAGCCCCTTCTGCGCCCGCCTGGGGACAGGGGGCGGGGCGGTGGGCGGGTCTCTTCCCAAGCCAAGAACACGTGCTCACAGGGTAGCAGGGATGTCAGCGTTGATGCTTCTCTAAGAACGTGGCCTGTCCTGTGGGTGTCATTTAATGAAGGGGAATTACCTGTATACATGAAATGTAATAACAGATCGAAATCATAAAAGCTTGACGCTTTAATTTACTCCCGGAAGAACTCCAGAAAAACAGAGATGTTTCCGAAATCTTTTTTTTTTTTTTTTCTGAATTTGTTTTCTGATTCCGTCTTCAGAAGCTGGGCCATGTGACATTCACAAAAGCAATCTATGTGCATCCGGGATAGAAATACGCTTCTCTGATGCAGGTGCGCCCTGTGAATCGGAAACTGTGTGACTCCCTATCATTTGGGCCACAATTCGTTTCTTGTTAGCAGTGAATTTATGAATCCCAGCTTTCTGCTTTCAACCCTCGCCTTCAGATTCCCCTTTTATTGCTCGGGATGCAGCAGGATAAAAGGAGAAAATGAGTTGTGATTGCAGAGAGTCCATTTTTCTTGATTATGACCAAAAATGAGATCAAAAAACACATGTGTAGAGCTTCAAGTATCCTGCGAGGCTAGATGTAATTCCAGAAAGCTGGGCTGACCTCCCGCCTGGATTCCCAAGCTCTCCCCCGGGAATCTTCTCCTGTCTGCTCAGTGAGGCTTCGAGTCATTTAATGGCGCATCCAACAGTGTAAACCGAAGAGTTAGGATTCAAATGCAAATCTGTTAGGTAAGGTTATGTTAGTATTGCAATAGATAACCCCCAAATTCCCAAGCTGAGCACAACAAAGCTCTAGTTCAGCTCCTGTAACAGTCCCACACGGGGGTGATTAATTGCTGATGGGACAAGAGGGTTGAGGGACCAGGCTGATGGAGGCAGCTGATCAGTCTGTTTCCTACAACCCCACTGGACATTGCCATCTAGCCAGGCTGGGATGAGAGAACTTGGAGAAAACAAGCCTGTTTTTAACCGTTTCAGTCTGGTAGGGATATGCTTCCTGGGTGGAAACTAATATTTATCCTAAATCCATGGGAGCATCCAAAGATGGGGGGAATCTCAGGGACATGGGAGAGAAGTCAAAATGGCATTGCTTATGTCAGCGAGATAAAGCAAACCGGCCAGAGGAGGACCTTGTAGTCACAATTTTGCCTGGTGATTTATTTACTCCCGTTGTCCTTACTCTTAATGAATTCTCATTAATTCTTTCATTCCAGATCTATTTGCAGGTGAGAAGATTATGTTACCTGTATTTCAGGGCTTGGCAGGAAAAAGGTGTCAATGTTGCAGCATAATGAAATAAAGTCATAGCCCTAAATTCTAAGCCTGGTTGGGAGAGAGCTGTAAATCTCAATGTGGTTTTTCCTCAAAATTTTTCCACCTGTGTTCTGAGTGTGAATGCCCATTCTCAGGGAAGAATGTGTCCTAGATCTACGTCCACTGATGGAACTACAAAATTTCTCCTTAATTTTTTCTTTTTTCTTTTTTTTTCTTTCTTTTTTTTTTTAATAGAGAGCTATGCAGAAGAGGGGCAGAGGGAGAGAGAGAGAATCCCAAGCAGGTTCCATGCTCGGTGCAAAACCTGACCCAGGGCTTGATCCCATGACCCTGGGACCATGACCTGAGCCGAAACGGAGAGTCTGACACTTAACCGGCTGAGCCACCCAGGTGCTCCCAAGATTTATCTTTTACCTGATTTATAAATCAATCAGGTGCAGGTTTGAAGAAAGAAAGACTAGAGTGGGCATCTATTAAGAACAATTTTGAGCCTGGAGAGAATTGATAAAAAGAACAATCAAAGGTGAGTTTAGAGAGTATGCTAGTAAGTGAAGCCTCTCTGTCGGAGCCTATCTCTCTGAGCTGTCAGCACAGAGCCCAAACGTGGGGCTCGAACTTACGAACCACGAGATCGTGACCTGAGCCAAAGTCGGATGCTCAACCGACGGAGCCACCCAGGCGCCCCTCAGTGTTATGGCTTTTCTCTCCTCTGTCTTGACAGCCCTTTTATCACAGCTGAAGACTGATTCATCCTGAATGAGCATGTCTTTACTTTTTCCCTCTCCAGCTTTGTTGAGAGTTTTGGGTAAAGAAAGACAATGAGTTGTAAGAATTTGCCTGAGGTAAAGAAATTCCTTCCTATGCATCTAACAATCCAGGTGGAAGTGGAATCCACTTTGGTTTTGTCTGTGGAAGATGCATCATTTTTGTGCCCCACGTACTAGGTTAAACTTGGAGGTTCACTTTTCACCCCACATGACCGCTTTTACACGGAATTCATTTACATAAACACAACTCAAAATATTATACATTTCATGGTTTTCAAAAAGCAGTCTGTATAGAAGATGCTTCCATGTTAGCTCCCTGACACTTCACGCCCCAAACCGGCCAGTCTTGATTTTATGTGTGAGTCTGTCCCTGTGTCAACCGGACCAGGATGGTATGCTTTTGGAGGTCTAGGTTTTCCTTTCCACAGGTTTCCATCTCTGCCGTTTCTGTTGGGGCCTTGAGTAGCCATGGGTTTCCCCAAATGGTGTCTTTCTTACTTTCCCTTCTCTTGCAGGAGCAGTGACCGTTGTACATCACAGAATCAAGAGGATTAGGGTCAGAGCCGAATTAAAGCCCAAGGTTAATGCACAACATTCTTGGGTTCTATGGGAGGTTTTAACGACTTCTGATTGACAAGTGAGAGGCCTTTTTTGCTTTATTTTTTTCTTTCTGAGTTTCAGTTACATAGTGTTACCATAAGACATGATATAAATGACTTATTTATGTACTGCCAAGTTTCTTTAAGTTTTGCAGTGTTGACAGAGACTCTAACTTCTTATAAGAAAGTATTCGCGACTAAAAAATAAACCCAACCACCAATTTATATGGTGTGAAGCAAAAATATCTACTGACGGTTTTATTATTTATTTACTTATTCATTTATGTTTTAAATATAATCTGTTTTCAAGTTAGCTAACATACAGTGTATACAACGTGCTCTTGGCTTCAGGGATGGCTTCCCATGATTCATTGCTTACCTACCACACCCAGTGCTCATCCCAACAAGTGCCACTGGTGGTTTTAAACAAAGTTCTTGTGAAATGAGCCTCAAAGGGAAAAAAGAAAAAACAAAACAAAAAAAAAAAAAACCTAACCATTGATACATATTAGAATTCTATCTTCAGTAGATCCTGATAGAGAAGCAGACATTTTTTCTAGACAGGGGGGTCTAACAACTGGTTTTCTGAATGTAGAAACCCCCAGGCGGACCTAGGAACTCATGAGATAGGGTAAGAAGTTTCCGGAGCAAATCAGAATCTAAAACCATATCTCTAGGAGGGATACAATTGGCTAAGGGTTCCTTTAAGCCTGTGCTCCAAGCCAGGGCCCCCCGGAAGGTAGACTGGAGTCGTTTCTATACCCCAGTTGCAACATACATCTTGACCTTGGGGCATTCGGTCCCCTGCCTTATTGAAACATGAAGTCAACAGACATAAGACTCTTCCAGGTTTGATTACTTCCACAGTATTTCCTTTTATAAAGTATTTCTGTTTTTCCAGCAGACATGACTTACTTGATTATGCTGGGGAATTGGCTAAAGAAGTTACTTAAATATTTAAAGGGAAATGTTGACTCCTGTTGCCAAAGCACATTAAGAATTAGCAGAGCTACTAAGATAATATCTCTTAGGTAATACCAAATTAATAATTGATGGAGGTGAACCCTCAGAAGAGTACAAGACAAAGTGAGCCGAGAATCTGGGCTTGATCCAACTATTTCTCAGCAAATTCAGACCTTTGTAGGGACCAGCCAGTTCGGGCCAGTGGGAAGCTTCATCTCAGAGCATGACTTTTTTCAAAGAATTCTACCATGGTTGGAGGTTAATGGAGTCGCACAAAAACTTGACTGGATGGGGAATGACATTGCTCAGGTGAAGGAAGTAACAGTACTCCATACATCACTCTACCTTCATAGCAAAGGTGGATACATTTTGAATTATAAAGACGTAAGCCAATACCATCGGAGTCTTTTTAATTACTGGCTGAAGCTACATAAAATCTTAGCGATTGAAGAATTAAATACTTTTGTACGCCTATTGAAAATGAGCTGCTTCATTTAAAAAAGAAACAGGGATACAATACCATGAACTAATCTCCAGACCTTCTTATTCAATTATGATAGTCGCCTCACTAGTGCCCATTTCCTGGGCCAGGACCCTGTCTAAGATCAGCACCGCATTTCATTGACCTGTCTTCTTCATCCACTCAGGCAATCTGAGATAGATCCTCAGTCTTTGGGCACATTTAAAGAGTAATTTGGCTTTATTTCTTCTAGGAGATGCAGAATTAAGAACTCAGGTCTGTCACGTCAGGAAATCTGGGGCTCTGGTCACAGGTCTCTCCCTGTAGGGTATTCTGAATCTAAGCCATTTTATCTGTATGAACCCAAGTTTATATCACTTATCAAATAAGGGAGTTGGACAGTATTAAAGGTTTTCCAACTTCTTACCACCAAGGACGTTTTTTAAAAATTATTTTTATCTTCCATATCATGAAAAGATTTGGCTTGTGACCCAAACTGAGCTACTTCGATCATTTTTGGCAGTCAAAATATAATAAGTCTCATAAAATAAGTAGGTTCTTTATCAGACATGCAAATAACAAACGAGCATTGGGTAGGTATCGTAGGTGTTCAGGGAAAGAGAAATTGATAACCAAAGGGAATGTGCCACAGTTTCATAACTTTCTAAAATGTGAACTCAAAACTTGGTAAGTACTCAATTGGCCTATCCGTTGTTGGAGAGTTTTGAAGGGGGAGAAAGTGAATCATTTCTTTTTCTGACTGTTGTCTCTGGGCTTACGCAGCAGGCATATGTTGAGCTACTGGTAGTTACAAATACATCAGGATTATGGGCTTTTCGGTGTCACAGTTTTCCTCTGCTCCGAGTGGATTTCTATGCCTAATGTGCTCCTAAGAACATGGCTTTGACAATTGGTAACAAAATTCGACTTTGACAATATCCTGTGTAAAATACATTAACGGTTCGATTACATTTCATCTTAAAAGCCACGTTTTGACTGTGTAAGATACACTTTCAGATAACTGTAAGTTTCCTTGTTTTTTAAAGGAATTATGTAAGTGTAACAGAGAAACTGTGATGACCCCTACTGATGTAGTCCAGCTTGAACATATCCAAACTCAAAATGCCTACTAAATATTAAATTAAATTAGTTAAATTAAATTAAATTAGATTAGATTAAATGTGATAGAGTCCAGGAAGCTTCTGGTTACAGTCCATGAATGGTAGGCCTGAAGCACATAAGGCAAATGTGGATTCACTTAAAATCTAGGTTGGCATTTTTTTTCCTGAAGGAGATTTTTGAGTCTTAGAAAGAAGCGTATTAAAACTTAAACTTAATAATTTTTAATATACAAGTTCTAGAAATAAGAACAATTTCAATATAACTTACTTTAAGTCAAATGGCCCTGGGGTGCCTGGGTGGCTCAGTCCTTTGAGTAGCCAGCTCTTGATTTGGGCTCAGGTCATGATCCCAGGATAGTGGGATCGAGTCCCACATCAGGCTCGGGGCTGAGCGCTCTCTCTCTCTCTCTCTCTCTCTCTCTCCCCCACTCTCATTTTGTCTCCCTCTCTCACTAAATAAATAAATAAATAAATAAATAAATAAACAAACAAACCTTAAGTTAAATGGCTCTTAAGGCTATGTTATTGTATAACCTAGAGCTATTGTAAATTATAATGTATCCATTTATATAATTCATTATATTTATTTGTAATCACTCTAAATGTTACACAATAGACTTTTAAGAGATTGGGAGTCCCTACACAGTCACCCCGTCACACCTAATTTTTCAAGCAGGGACCTGAATGAGTCCAGAGAGACTCAATGATGCGCTAACCATGGCAAAGTGGGCGTCACCCCTCAGGGGTTCTGCTGTCCCAGTTGGCAGAACTGGGGCTCTTCTGTACCACACCCAACACCGCCTTCTTCATGGGAAAGAACCCACGGGTATGGTTTTTCCCTTATGACCTTAAACAAACACCATAGACAGAATGTATTAATAAGTGGGAGGCTTTTACAGAGAACTGAATGTTGTGCTCGTGGACGTGATGGAAAAGTGTATTGCAGGGACCAGACTAGTCTCTGGACCAACAAAAGGGAAAAACACAACGCATAAGTTGATTGCAGAAAAAAATAATAAAATAAAATAAAATAAAATAAATGAAGGAAAGGAAGACAAGTCCTTGACTTCTTTGTCTCTCTGGGAACATATGGTAAGAATAGCTCGACCTCCTTGTGATGATTCAGTGGTTTTAGC